ACATTAATAGCCCAATTTTCAATTACTTTCAGGCCTGGAAATTAATGGCTTTAACGACACCGTTATTTACACCACGGCAATATTCGCTTTTGTGGTTGCTTCGTCGACATATTGAAAGATGGAGTGGAAAAAGGTGTCGATTTTATATTTCTATTTTAAATGTTCCTTGTGAGTACTTTTACTTGTTACTAAATTTCAAATTAAGCTATAATAGATTCTCGGCTTCATGATTCACATTTTTCTACAACATTATACTTATGGTACTTAATTTTCCAATTATTTTTAAGATGTGATGAAGGTAATTTTGCCTTGTATTGCTTGCGCGCTTTCAATCGTTGCCTGAAAGCACATGGACGAACAGAGGGACCAAGTAAACTTGAGGCAATCTCCATATTAACCAGGGATCCAACTTCAACGAATATGCCGCATAGCATCCCAGTACTGCTGCCAAATAATGAATATCAAGTAAGCTACAAAAAAGATATTTTACTTGTCATTTTGCGATGACTGTGATTGCATTAAAGGTTTTTCGTTGCTGAATGCATAATGATGCATAGTATTCCTTCACTTTTCAAGAACTGATGTTTGCTCTTTATTTATGTTGTTGATCATTAATGATGAAGCATTTAAGGACAATTAAAACTTAAAAAGCTTTCAAGGTTATCGATTTTGATGGTTCCACGCTTATTGGCGATTGTTTATCAACTTTATGTGTGAAATGTGGTTTAAGACCAGCGCTTTTGAGTGGTTACGCTTTGTACATAGAGGATCCGCTGGAACGGAACTCTTATCTTCTTTTAAAAAGCAAACAGAAGGCAAATTCTAATATGTTATGATTTTATAATCGTTACTTTCTGATTCCCTTGAAATATTTTACCAAGTTTTCCGAAATAACAGAGCTTACAAAATTGCTGAGAAACTGACTTATTTTTCAGTTGTGTGACTGTATATCACGTTGGGAACGTGAATTAATAGACAATAAATGTGGACGAGTCACTGAAGATGTTGCTCGGATAAAATTATCTATTCGACAGAGGCAATATTGGAGTCATCTGGTCTCTTCGGAAACACCTGCTGAACGCATATTTCTGGTTCATCGGATGGCTGGCGAAATTGTTGCTGGAAGGGTACCGTTGAGCAGCGAGTTAGCGGAGGAATTAGCAGCTGTTTATGCACAAGTAAATTATTTTCATGTTCTTGTAAGGAACGATATCTGATGAACAATTCCGTAAAATTATTACCTCTTATTATCCTTCAAAGCTGCTAGATGTTGGTTGTGAAAGATTGTTAAGGTAAGATTTAATTATGCGGCAACATATTTATGCTTTTAAGTCACTTTGGGTCTGATGATATATTTCAGCTCAAATTTGGAGACATGGGAACGGTATCCGATGAACAATTCCGTGAAATTATTACCTCTTATTATCCTTCAAAGCTGCTAGATGTTGGTTGTGAAAGATTGTTAAGGTTAGATTAAATTAGATTTCCAGCCGTCTGAGTTTGATTTCAAAAACCGTTTTCTGTTTTTTAATAGCAGTTACTTAGAATAAAACCTCATGAAATAATATTTTTACTCAATTTATGCAAGCATGGATTTCAGATTAAATCTCGAAACGAACTGGTCGCAGTTGCGTGACACTTCGGCAGGGGATTGCATTCGCATGATACTAGTTGTTTTGCGAAAATGGCGCTTTTTTGGGTCATTTATTATGGAAGCACGAATGAAGATGTGTAAAGACGAAAGTTTGTTCATTGCACTTAATGATCAAGGCGTCCATTTGCTCACTTTTCGTCAGCTTGTTAGTATTATTTCTATATAGCTGTTGCTAAAACGCATATTAAATCTTTAATATTACAATGTATAGAATACCTTTGTGTATAGATACATTATGCGTTAGAAAAGTTTTGCATTTGCTGCAAAACTTTGCAGTTTCGCATTTTGCAATAACTATATATTTTGCTGCTTTAGAATAGATCAGTACTTAAAATTTCCCCTCGAAGAAGTTCGTTCAAGAAATATTGGCTACATTTAATTTGATCATTATATGCAAATGCAATATTCATACTTGAAATAGCTTGCATTGTGGTTATGAAATTTACAGGATCTCATAAGAAGTATTCCTTACCATCGACTAGTTTCATTCGGTGGTTATCACAATGATTTTATGCTCACCATTGAGAGAGTACTTCCGCCTCAAGCTCATCCCGAAGAAACGGCTCGAGAAAGATTAACTTTTTCAATGCCTGCGAGAAATATTGACCAGGTCATCATTTTTCCTGACTATTCAGCATAAACTGTAATTAATGGCTTTTAAAGTGATTTATACGCCTTTTATGCTGAAATTTCTGCTAGAAAAGCTTAAAACTGCAAAACTTTTTGAGTTCCCAAGAATAAATTTGACAAGAGTAAAATTGGGACGGTAAGTAATTTTTATCAATTTTTTTCAGCTCACGTGTCATTTGGCGGAATATATCCGGTGCCAGAAATTAATTTGGAAGTTTTCGACACGAAACTCGTAATTATGTACACAATTTTAAATACTGATGCATAATTTACATTTGGGTGACCTTTTTATCTGCTCATTTGTTATTATTTGAAGAAAAGTGCCCAAAATTTTACTGTGTTAATAAAGAGGAGATACACGACTAATGATGTATCCCATAATTCCTTCACTTTCTTGGAAAATCTCAAAGCATTAAATATATTTGTTTTGCAATGCCTGAAACCAATAATTTTTCGGCCCATCAAACTTATCAACTAGTTTAATGTGACTAGACATAAATAATTTAATGTCTGTCTTAGGCGAAGAAATTTTAAAACGACATGGAATGATACTAGTCACATTAAACTCTGTCAGCGATATCTTTGATCTTTATTGGGAACTGTTGTGTGTTTATTTGGGACTATTGGAGTTTTCTAGTTTAATAGAAATATATAACTTACCTCAGGCTTATTAGCGCAGTTACGTGGTACGTATGACTGCAACTGGGATCAAATTTCTCAATGGATTCGATTTTTTTGTCAAACTTCTCCGCTTGACAATGCTGACTAGAATGCCCCCAAAACACTTTCAAGAATTTGAGACTTCCTGGAGTCTCATTGGCATCAGTTTTGATGGGAAAACCCACTCTTTAACATATATTATATCAATAGCTTCATTATAATGCTATTTTTCCCGCAAAGCAAGTCATAAACAAAACGACAGATGAAAACAAATAAATGTGGGAAAGGTGATGATATAAGCTGGTAGAAAAGAGAATTTGAAAGAGTTTCCCAGTAATGTAAAAAAGCAAAAGTGATTGGACAAAAATGCCAGATGTTAAACATAAATTAGTAAGAAGTAAAATGAGACATCGAACACTGAATTTAACAAGATGTCGTGATAACTTTAGAATTTAAACTTCTGTCAATCACATGTTTTCAATATCTGTGACGAAAAAGGTCCATAGAGAAACTCTATTCATAATAAGTAATTTTCTAGTTTCTTCCTGTTTTTTATTTGAATGGCATGAATATTTCTCAGATGCATTAAAATAATCCAGATAAAGGAGAAGGGAGAATTTCAATGAAGTCCATTTTCATATGTACAATCTCCCAAAATTCGATATAACAGCTTCTCCCTTCAAATTCTTTCACTCCATAATTTTCTTAACAAAAATGAACAGCATAAGTATAAGCCTTATATCCCTTTGAATCACCCAACGAGTTTTTTATTTGAAATTCGTACTTATGCTTGCTACGAAGTCCCATTTGCAATTTTTTTACTTCAAGTATCCGACTAAAATCTTTAGCCATTAATCATATTTCTCTTGATATCAAAACAGTTATTTTTTTCGTGGATTATTATAGAACCTACTTTATAACTATCCTGATCACATCTCTTCCACTAATATCATAGACATTAATAACTATAGCATAGTGTTTGTGCGATTATACTCCATCTCGAAATATCGTAAAAATGAAATCGAGTCTGAACATATTTTTCAACCACGCTAACTCAGAAGTTGTTTCTAACAATGTTAAAAATCGGCGAACATTCTTCTATTAATAATGACATCATTGCCTGTGGCTTTAACTTTTATATTAAATTTATTGCAGTTTGGTGAATCTTTTTTATCAATCAAATAAGATATAATGTTATTAATCTATTTGCAAAATTATATGTAATTATTTCAAAAATTTAAATTATTTCGAGTGCCAAAAAAAATTTATATTTTGGTGAAAAGTTAAACGAAATGTAGAAAAAAAATAAAAATGTAAAAAGCGCAATTTTTTAGAATAAGCCATTGAATATACTTATTATAACATCGCAAATGAAATATGTGAATCGAATTGTCTTCCTGCAACACTCCTTGTTTTCAACGATAAATTTGTCAATCCGGCGAACATCGCCGCACAGAACTTCCAAACTGACTACAGTACTCCCGCTAAAGCTATACAGTACTCCTAATGCTTTGATTCTTGTCCGTCCTTCGCGTATACCCATATATAAAATGAACGGTATTTCACGGCTATGATGTTACTTACTAAAACAAATGGTGATGGTAGCAGTAGGTTTGTGGGATTGGATTCGCGTTTTTCGAGTGTACACTAGAATGGGATCTGCAGAGACCTATGCTACAGCCTCACTCGAATATCCCGCATAGAGCAATTGCTTGGCTCAGTACTGATACAGTGGACATGTAGAACGGAAAAATATTTGTAACACGAAATTCAGGCAAACTTTCTGGAGTGCACATGCAGTCACGTAGCATGCATGCAGCACATGCGATAGATTATACAACAGAAGAATTACAGATTCCATTAAAAGGTTGTAGAGAAATTGAGAAATCAAATTAATGAAGTAAACGATTTTAAAATATTACCTTTGAAACGTGACAACGTGATATGCTACATAATTACGTTAGAAATTCAGTAAGTGATGGAAAGAACACAATGATTTCACGTCTTTTTTTTTGAATTTTACAAATATTTTAGAGGAATTGAGACGTTTGAGAGGATGTCGTTGCTGGATACAGTGGAATTGCAAGGTATCCGCAGTGTCGGAGTGGGACCTCAAAATGCTGGTGTCATCGAATTCCTCTCACCGCTAACTATTATATGTGGGCCGAATGGAGCTGGGAAGACGACAATCATTGAAGCGCTTAAATATGTCACAACTGGAGAACTACCGAAAGGAAGCTTTCAAACGTTTATTCACGATATGCGGGTAAGTTCGCTACATCATTTTCATCCTACCTTTCGTTGTTTTTCTCATTTTACATTTTTTATCAATAAATATGCTTCATATTTGATACGTAAATTCTCAGAAGCTGGAAACTTTAGGAAAATGGTGATGCAGTTTGAGGTAATGCTTCGCTTCATTTGTTATATTGTAACATTTTGAAATTTTGAGAATATTTTTCATTCTTTAACGGAAGAGTAATCTACATTGAAATTGAACTTAAAATAAACAAAATGGAAGTTTGCTTTTAACGATGTGCGTCTTTTTGCAAAAATATTTTCAAAAATGTTGACTATTGGTCGGCAGATTCATTTGCAGTTAGCTGATAGATCTCGAGTGGATGCATCAGTGAAGCTCAAATTCAAAGACATTAGAGGGAGATCTTGTGTTGTGACTCGTCGTATAATGCAGTCAAAGGGTGCTAAGGTGAAACATTTTTACTTCAAAAGTTTATTTCGTGTCATTTCGTTTAATTCTTTGTCAGAAGAAGTTTAACTTACAGGGTAAAATAACGAATAAATCAGAAGAGAGTACGATTGCAATCGAAAAAGAGCCCGGTGAATGGAAAAGCTTATCATCAAAAGTTGTTGACTGTAGGAAAGAGGTAACAGTTTTGTTTGACTGCAGTTGTCCTGTTCTTTGCATTTAGAATATTACGATTATTACTATGCATGCAGTTCTAATCATTTCACATATTAAAAATTGTTACAGATTTTAAATCTTCTTGGCTTACCTACAGCAATTTTGGAATATGTGGTTTTCTGTCACCAGGAAGAATCTTCATGGTTTGTACAATGAATGCTTCATTTCTGTTCTTAATATTGCAGTTTCATAACTACTCTTATAAGCTCTCTGTTTGTAATTTCTGATTATTATGAAAAGACGAACATTGGATCAAAATTGGCCGGATATAATTATATCAAAGTTGAAGGTTTTTTATAAAACTCTTCCTTTAGTTTTTTTTTTGTCATTTCAGGCCGCTTGATGAGCCTAAAAAACTGAAAGAGCGCTTTGACGAGATTTTTCAAGTGACTGGTTATGTGAAAGCAATTGAAGCCCTGAGAAAGGAAATGAAAGAAAATGTTTCTTTCTTTCTTTATTTTTTTATTCCACTAAGCTTCTACTATCAAATTTCAATTTACTCTGTTATAATGGAAAAAAAGTTTGCAGCAGCAAGAATTGAGAATCACTGAAGGTAGGCTACCACTTCTCATCAGACAACAGGAAGAGAAGATCGAAGTTTGTATTTATTTGCCAATTTTCTTTCTTTAATATTACAGCTTTTGCACAAAAATTTTCAATTTTTCTACCAGCTTTCGATAGTAGTCATTGTGAAATTTGCTCATTATATTATAGCTGCATAATGAATACGTCAGTCTGAAAGAGAAAATAGCGGAAAATGAGAAAGAAATTTTGCTAAAACAAACGGCACTCAAGGAAGATAATGCTAAGAAAGCTTTGAAAGTTGCAGAAATTGATGAAGCAGAAATGTTAAAGAAGAAACACGGTAAACTTGATCATTAAGTTTTAGATTTACTTATCTGACCTTTACTGAAATCCTAATTAAGATATGATGGAAGCGGAAAAGCAAGTACTTGTTGATCAGATTGAATGCTGCTCGGCATTAGATTACGAAGGAGGAATCGAAAATTTAAAACGTGAAATTGAATCGGTATGTGATATTTCGTTTCATTTCGATCGAATTCAAGCACAAATTTGTAACTACATGCGTGTCCACTAGTCTTATTAGAGAAATTTACAACTGAAGCTGGTTTCCCAGGTAGAATTCTCTTATTTTTAATCGGTATGGGTTACTACATTCATTAGTCAATGTTAGTTTTTACAGAATGGACTGGCTATGGAACATCAGATCCACTGCCTAAGCATTTGATTTTAATCTTTGATTAAAAAAATCAAAGCAAAAAAATATTTGCTTTAAAAATATTTGCATGCTGTGTTCATTTTATAATCCTGAAATTTTCAATGTAATGTAATGTTTACAGGTTATTCATTCTGATGAGTTTAAAGATATGGAGCGAAGTCGTAATCTTATTAATGCTGAGATTGATAAAGTTAACGCAGAAATTGAAGATTATGTAATAAAGAAAAAAGAAATCGACAGAATAATTGTACAGCTGAAAAGTGTTCAAATGGTGCATTTTTTAAAAGTTTATTTGGATTAAGAAGTTGTTTATAAAGCTTAATTTAATGAGTTAAAAAACATGGAATTATCCTATTGTTGCTGAAATTGCATTTAATCTTCTTTATTTTCATTATTGCAGATGCGTGACAAAATGATTGTGGAAAGAGAGCAGTGTTTGGAAGCGTACTGCTCACGATTCAATTTAAGAAGTAAGAATTTTTGGTCAGAGGTTGAATCTTATCCGAACTATATTTAGAAAAGATTGCGTTGTCTTCAGATGATCAAACGGAAACTCTGAAGCAGTTGCATTGCTTGATTGAAAAACGGAAGGAAGATATCAATAAATTTACGGTATTTCTTTTCATTTTGTCTAGCAACATTTACGTTAAAAAAACTGATATTTTCACAGATTTTTCTGTTATACTGTTTTGCACTAATTTTGTATCAAGTTAATTTTTATTGCAGAGTAGAATGGAAGAAAAGCAAACGAATTGCCAGAAAGAAATTGATAGCATTTCGGGAATTTTAGCTGAAATTACAGCAAGAATAGAAATGAGGAATGAGGAGAGTAAACGACTGGAAGAAGATATTGCTGCAGTAAAGTGTAACTTAATGGAAGCAGCTAGTTCATCCGAGAAGTAAATAATTGTATATTAGTTACATTTACCGTTAATGTTGGTTATTCTCTTAGATCAGTATTCCTTGGTCAAAGTGCAAAAAGGAGTTTTTATCCTTCACATCTTTTGCCTTATTGTAAACACAAAAGTTGGTTAACATCTGGAAATATTTTCTATCATGGGGTAGTCATTACTACTAATGACATGACTATATTTGGAACAAGAATGAACTATTCAGGCTCGATCACTTGCAAGATGAAATATTAGAACAAGAAAAGGTTCTAGAAGAAATGCGGAAAAGCGAGGAACTGGCAGTTAATGTTGAAGATTTAAAAAACAAACGAGATGGAATTACAAACAAAGTAAATTAGCAACTTTCATTGTTTTATTTTTATGATGTTTGTTAAAGTCATTTCTGGTAAATCGTGTTTTTACAGTATCTCTAAATGCAATTGATTTGATTTCGAAAAATACTGAATTCAGTTGTAAAAGTTCTTTTTTGAGATAGAATCGCTCAAGAAGGAATACTGGATGAGAGAAAATGCTGAAGAAATTGAAAATAAGATCAAACAAAAAAGTGGTGAATTGATGAAATTCGAAAAAGAACTCTGCACACTGAAGGATAAGCATCAGATTGCTTTACTGGATATATTTAGTGCCAAGGAACCTGAGTTTCCTTTGAGGTCAGTTTTTAGCCCTTTAAATGCTTTAAGTACAAAACTTGGTAAAAGTTATGCATTGTCAACAAGAGTGGGAAAACTCTCGCATTTATCGGTGTTAGTACTTGATTTAGCAACATACACTTTGCATGCTTACTATTACATCCAAGTTACTCGCTGTCTTCAGCTTCGACTACTCTGTTGATGTTAGATAATCTGTAGGAATTAAATAATTATGAAATGATTTGTTTCATAGATATTCCATTACAATTTTTGTTTTTAGCGATCGACTCACCATATATGCTCGAAAAGCAGAACAAAATTTGTCAGCAGCTGAAGATGAATTTAAAATTCGTGAGAAAGAGGTATCCCGAGCTCAGTTTGCTATATCACAGATTGGTCGAGAAATGGACCAACTGACTGATCAGATTGCATCATACAGGCGGAAAATAACAAAGGTTTTCTTAAACATATGTGGCATGCTTTTTTTATTGGCTGTATCATATTTAAGTCACCATTTTAGTGAAAATTGGGACTAACAAAAATGGATTTATCCTTTGATTTTGATATATTTGTTATTCTCTATGAATTTAAATAGGTGTACTAATGAATAATTTGGTTCAATCCATACTGTTATATGTAAAATTTGCAGGTTGTTACACATGAAAATGAGGTGGAAACGCGTTTGGATGAAATCAGAACGCTTCTTAGGAAATCGCAGCAAGATTCAGGGCGTGTTGATGGCTGTGCGTTCTTATATGAACAGTGGGAGGAAGAAGTTAACGCGAAAAAATGTTGCCCGCTTTGTGAACATTCATATAGCAGTACAGAGGATTCCAACGTTCTTAAAGAAAAAGTTCTGACAAAAAAGCATTAAAAAATTTTTAAATTCAAAAGTCAAAGAAGAGGTTGGAATCATGCAATGAAAGTCTGAAATTTTACAGATGTAAGAGGCTATGGGATTATTTTCATTTGCAGGAGCGTTTTTAATATTGTAATAAATAATTTTAAATCAATTTTCAGATAAAGCAAAAAAGGAAAAATTTCACTAAGGATGCCGAAAAGTTGATTCGTAAAGTGAAAGATTACGAAGCAATGCAGAATGAGCTTATGGAAATTGTGTCTTATGTTGGGATGTTGAAACAATCAAATAGCGAGAAAGAACAATTGCAGGAAAACTTGAAAAAAGCGGAAGTATATTGTTTATATACATCTCTATTTTATAAGCCTTTTTTCAACTAGTATCTTTTTAACTTTTATGTGCATTTTTACTTTTATTATAATATCGTATTTAGGAAAAGTTGCATGATGTGGAAGTAGAATTTTCGAAGTCGAAATCTGAAAGAGATATCATTTTGCAAAAGCTGAATGTAGTTCGTGATGTTCAGGTATTGCTGTATTTTCGTCGGATTTTTCTTCCGTATTGCTTGACTTAAAGATTAGAATCCATTATATATATGATTGGGAATAAACACCATGTTAATATAAGAGACGTTCATTATGAAATGGATATAAGTTTGTTGTGGTTTTTGACGTAGAAATGCACTTCTTGAAGTATTGTTTTCGTTAGTTCAATTTTTTTTAGGTTGATGCTTCTCTGATGGATAATATTTGGATGTCATTATCAGATGCGAAGCACTGTATGAAATTGTTAAAAGCAGAACTTGGCGTTGCTGAATGTGCAGAACGCTCATTAAGTGATATAAGAAATGAAATAAGAGAGAACGAAGTGATTTTTTTCAGAGCTAGTACATTATTTTTATAATTTTAATTGAAATCATTTTTATACAATTTTTACTTTGTATCAATTTAAACTTGTAATTTCCAGGAACACTTCACAGAATTGATCAGTAAACTCGACATGATTCAGATAGCAGCTTCTGAAAGGAACAAACTTGTTGAAAAGGTAAATTTTTAGCCTTATTTGATGGTTTTTTTGCTTTATTGAAATAAGTTAAAAGTTACAGTATTTCAGATGCGAAAAAGTGGTAATAGTATAATCCATGCTTTTCTGTAGTGAGAATTAACGTAAAATCACTATTAAATGCTTTGATAGCGAAGATTTCTAAGTATTTGTTTTTAATGAATTTATTTCAGTTAAATGCATCGAAAGAACTTCGTACTGCTTTAAATGAAAAGATAGTGCAGCTTGATTCAATAAAAAAAGTGTTAGACGTTAAAGAGAAAGAATTAGAAGCGAGTAAACAAGATTTGCAAAAGCTGAAAACACAAAAACCGGTTGTTGAAGCGGAATTGCAGGTAGCGTCAGAGCTTTTGTTTTTCTTAATTTAATTTTATACTGATTACAGGCCAGGTAAATATTATGTAATGAAGATTGAAGGAGCATATAGATTTATACATTTGTGCGTGAGGATTTCTGATAACAATTCCACAGATCAACAAATCATTTCACATTTCACTATTCTTTCGTTATAGATGAAGAAAAAGGAGCGGATTATTATACAAAATGAAACAAAAAATAAGGAAGCAGAATTGTTGTGCTCATTACGGGATGCAGAAGATGCTGCAAGGGAAATAGGTAGTTGTTGCATATGATGCGAAATCAGAAGTTTTGTAACTTTTCGCTTACTTATTAGCTTTATAATATTTTCGACCATTTCTAAATTTTCAGAAGCGATAGATAAAAAACTGCAAAATGTTGCGGACAGTTCTGATGATTTAAAGGACCACGAAAATGAGTTGTCAAAAATAGATGCCGGAATTGGTGTAAGCAACGCTAAAATGCGCAACTTGACCGAACAAATTGATCATTTAAATTCAAAAGTATGTATTTTTTATTAAGATCTCAGTGCTAGCTTAGGATTAATATAAGTTTAAAAGTATCAAAAAAATATGTGTGTGTATTTGGTTTTTCCTATGAGATTTTAGCAGTACCTTTATAGCAGGAACGTAAACGTCGACTGGATGATCAACTTCGGAAGTTGGAATTACGAGAACGAGTCAAAAGTTTAAATAAAAGCTTGGAAGAAACAGAATGGCATGGTACAGCAATCCCAGAACTGAGGAAAGAATTGAGTTCACTTTCAGATCAAGTCAATAATTTACAGTTGATGATCGAGAATAAAAGAGGTGCTAAATTAGTAGTGCGGCTCTCTTAAACCATTTGGAATGAGAATATTGATATACAGTTTGTTGAACTATTTGCGAACTTTGCTGATGTAGGTTAGATCTGTGGTCGACTCTTATTGATCTTTATTTGAATTTTGTTTTTGTCTTCATGATTGGTCGTAGTAAGTAATTTTGTATTTCCGGTGAACTGAATGAACAGAAGAAACGGGTAGCGACTATGGAAAAAACTTTGGCATCGTCTGAGTATGTGCAGTTCAAAGAAGAATTTAAAAAAGAAATTGTGAAAAAATGTGTCATCAGAAGATTCATAGAGGTCCTTTACTTTCTCTGGGCAGCAGTCTTTGTCATTATTTCACTTTAGTGAGCGTACACTATTTAGAAATTCTCCGATCCATCTACTCTATTTATTCGTAGGATTTGGCAAATTATATACGAGCAGTGGATGAGTCTGTTGTGAAATTCCATGCGCAAAAAATGGAAGAAATCAACGAAGTGTTGAGTTCCTTGTGGGAACAAGTGTATCACGGCAATGATATCGAAACTATACAAATCAAGTGAAGTTTTTTAAGTTTTTTGTTGTCTGTTGGCTTTATTGCACTATTTCAGTTTATTTATGTAAATAATATTTTCAATTTTAAAGCACTCTAATTTAAAACCGCTAGTGGAAACCAGTGCACAATTCCCTTTATACATTCTTTCTTTTTATTTGAAGATCTGAAAGCGCTGGCGAAAGTGAAAAAAAGAAATCATATAATTATCGCGTGGTAATGCATGTTGGTGGCACTGAAATTGATATGCCAGGGAGGTGTAGTGCTGGCCAGAAGGTATGGCTTTTTATTTATTAGTTGGCATTTGCTTGTGTTTAAATGTTGAAATAAAAAGGAAATTAAAGACAAGATTAAAAATACAGATCAAAATTATGGTTGATACTTGCAACCTATTCAGATGCTCGCATCGATATTGATACGAATTGCATTGTCAGACGTTTTCTGTGATAAATGTTCGATCATTGCACTTGATGAACCAACTGCAAATCTGGATGTGTTGAAAGCAAGTTACTTCTACCATTGAAAAGCTATGAAAGGAAATTGACGCATTAATATATTGCATATTTCCTCTTTAAATTTTCAAACAAATCTAGCAGAAAACTGGGACTCATCAATATTTGATGTAGTGCGCTATTTGGATATTCATCACTGATGCTTACAAAATGGATGAATTGTTATTTTTAGGTTACATCATCTTTTATCACTTTTTTTTTCCATTTTCAGGTAGAGAATTTGGGCGACATGTTGGCAGATATCATTTCGGCACGATGTGCAAACAATGCTAAAATGTTTCAACTTATTGTCATAACACATGACAACCGTTTTGTGGAACATCTTCGGCAATTATGTCGACCGGAATGGGTTTATTCAGTGTCAAAAGATGATGCAGGTTAGTTTCTAAAATTTGATATCGCTGGTATAAGAACAGAATACAGAGTAAGACCTTAGATAGAAACAGGTTGTAAAGATTTCCATTTCAGGGCTGTTCTAGTACTTTTGAGTTCATTTTTTTATTTTATCTTTAATACTTTTTTAGGATATATA